GGCAGTGATCTAGAGAAGGATGCTTATTTGTGGGCTCAGCAGAATCTGGCCAATTCTCAACTGCTTATGGTGCTGGACTTGATGTAAGCTTGCATGAGTTATACCCCAAAGGAGTAATCCAGTTCTGTGCTTTCTCTTCTGTCCTGCAGGGTTTTGGGGCACTTTGAAAAGCCTCTTTTCCTGGAACTCTGTAAGCACATGGTGTTTGTCCAGGTCCATGAAGGCGAATATATCTTCCGGCCAGGACAGCTGGATAACAGTATATATGTAGTTCAAGATGGGGTGCTGGAAGTCTGCTTTCAAGAAAGTGTAAGTACCACTATTGCTACATTTTGTTGTTAACGCTGTTTTTTTTAATTGTTTTATTTTTACTTAAGAACTTCGGGAAATGTAAAAATGAACCCTTGCAGTGGGGCTACCCCTGCACAGCTAAAGTTAACTGCTCGTTTGGGCCTAGTGGTTAAATAAAGAAAATAGACTAACCTGATCCGCAGTCCTGCGGTGGTGACCACTTACCTCTCTCCCCCTCCACTCTGGTGGTAGAATGTCCTTCGGCATCCTCATATCTAATGCAGCTGTATTATATGCGATGATGTCACGGGTCCTTATACCGCCGAAGCCTGAGGGAAAAGAGGCTGCAGGGACTGGTCTAGCAGCCAGATGGGACCAAGAATCAGATGTGTATATTTTTTGATATAAGCCCCAGACCAAAACAAGCAGTTAACCCTTGCAGTCCAGGGGGTAACCACACAGCAAGGGTTAATTTTCACATTTCTTGCACTTCTTTTTTTTAAGGAAATTTATCTTGGACAATAAGCCGTTCATTTCTTTAATACACCAATCTCCTCAGAAAAGTGAGATCAGACGGAGCTAATACTGAGAAGAGAATTTATAAGAACTGGAGCAGCTGTGCATTGCAACCAATCAGCTTCTCTCTTCAGTTTGTTCAGTTAAGATTTGAAAATGAAAGAGAGAAGCTGATTGGTTGTCATGCAGCTGCTCCAGATTTTGTCTGCTCCAGTTTGATAAAAGCCCCCCTCAGAGTTTATGATTGTGTTGTGCCCTCTGGCACTTTTTTTCAGCAAAGTACTATAGGTAGCTAAACTTCCCACACCTCCCTTGTGTACCCACAAATCTGGCCTTTGCAAGTACTTTGGTGTTTTAGCAGAAAACCTTTCTGTCTACAACTTAGTTGTTGGAAAATGTAACTGTGAGTTCTTCTGACTTCTCATCAGACTTTGTGTTTTGACTTCTGATACAATTTTATTTTTCAGGATGGAAATGAGATGGTGGTAAAGGAGGTTTTAGCTGGGGACAGTGTGCACAGCCTGCTCAGTATTCTGGATGTCATCACTGTGAGTTTAATATTCCTTCTACAATCATTTGTAAATTCCTTGGTAGTATATATTGCAGAGGGCACCATGCTTTGGAGACAAAGTCATATTTGCAACCTGTAATAAATATTATTTGTAGTATTTAAAAAGAGGTGAGCACTCCTTGTTTGCTGTCTAGCGTTTGAGAGTTCTGCCACCTATTAAAGGAGAACTATGAGGTGAGTAGAAATCACTCAGCCTCATAGTTGGAGCCGACGTGTGACAATGAAACTGTCACACGTCGGCTCAATAGATCAAGAAGTGAGCAAACACATACCGTCGTGCTCACTTCTCGATCATGTCCCTGCAGAAAGCCGTGACGGTCACTCACGGCTCTCTGCAGGGATTCCCCCCTCCCCGCTTCGATCCTCCAGCGCTGACTGGCGGAACGGATGGGGCGGGTACAGCTGGCTCTGCAGAGCCCGCTGTCAATCACACAGCTGGGTTGATCTCGACAGTAATGTCGGGATCCGTCCCGGCTGCGGCTGTCTCGGTGTACCGCGAGCTGTAGCTCGCGGTATACTAAGCTTTGGGTCACAAAACTAGGGACACAACTAGCATCCTCCCGTGACCCTTAGGAGACTAAAAAACACTGACCCCATAGTTCTCCTTTAATCCCCTCACAACCCCTGGCATTACAAGGAAAGAGAAGCAAGTAGCCAAGTAGAAACCCTAACCTAAGTAAAAGCAATTTATAAGCAATTTAAACTGCAAGAAGCATTTTTAATTTTTTTTATAGCTGATGCTATGTGAATGGAAACATGTAACAAATATAAAGTAGATATTATCCCTATTTAGCTGAGAAAGTGGAAATATACTTTGACTTCAGAAATGTTTGGTGACCGTATTCTACAGTATACATGTTGCTGTTTACAGACATGGTGTTCAGGGAATCCATCATTAGTCTCCGTGGTCAGGTACAGACGAGAGATCAGCTATTGCAGCCCAAGTCCCAGTGCCAGCCTGTGTATTCTGCACAGTGTAGAAATCTATTTACACTCGGCACAATCTCCTTCATTATTTCTGCCCTGGGGATATTTAGATATTTGTCAGTCGCGTTTTCACCACAGAAATAATAAATGAAATTGGAGAGGGGGAGCGTGCTGTGTTATTACCATCGCTCGCTGTGCCATGCTGCTGGTTATACAGAAATTTATATTCCATGAGGAATAAAACCCTTCAGCTTTTTAAAGCACCTCGCTTCCCATAAATCGGCAATTTATTCCGCATTAGGAAAATCATTTTTCTCAATTTTAGAGAGGGCCCTGTTCTATTATTGCAGTTTTAATATTGCACATGCACAGTGGGGATATGGAAAGGAGTTTACTCTGTCTGTAATTTACTCACCCTTATGTGTCAGCTCCATGTTTCTTGAGACTCTAATTAGACAACACATACTGTCACCTCATCTATGGATGGCCAAATAATAATAATAAAAAAAAAGTATTCTAATGGAAAAGCTGGCTATAATTTCTAAAAGCGACCGGTCGCCAAACCAAAGATTTAAAGGAGAACTATGGGGTTAGTGCTTTTCCCCATAGTTCTCCTAAGGGTAACAGGAGGACACAAACTAGCGTCCTCCCGTCACCCAAAGCTCAGTATACTGTGAGCTACAACTCGCAGTATACCGAGATGCCGCAGCCGGAACGGATCCTGACATCCACCCAGCTGCGTGAGTGACAGCTGGCTCTGTCTATCTAGAGGCACAGCCAACTGTACCCGCCCCCTCCCCTGTCCGTTCCGCCAGTCAGCGCTGGAGGATAGGGGAGGGGGGAATCCCTGCAGGGCGCAGTGAGTGACAGTCACGGCTCTCTGCATGGATAGATCGAGAAGTGAGCGAGCGACGGTATGTGTTCGCTCACTTCCCGATGTATTGAGCTGACGTGTGACAGTTTCATTGGCACAGGTCGGCTCAGATTATGAGGTTGAGTGAAAATCACTCGCCTTATAATTCTCCTTTTTAAAGAACAACCTTCCTATAAGATTATATATCCTATAATGTTATATATAACATTTTTTTTCATTGTAATTTGCCTGTAAAAGCCTTCCTCCCTGTAAACATTCAAAATCCCTAAGACTGCTGCAGGGCGCTGCCATTTCAGCCGACTAAATTCTAAATAATTGTTTGTCTTTGTCTCCTGTGTGTTGTTAAAGAGATCCTGTTGCAAGACAAATAATTTGAACAATAATATTCCTATAAGAATTCCTGTGCTTTTAGTGTACGTTATAAATGTTATTTGCCCGTAAAAGGCCTAAAATGCTAGAATGGTGCAACCCTGTAAAAAAAGAATAGTAATACTTCCCTATCTGGTAGGCAGGGACTGCAGTCTTCACTTTTTTGCAGGACTACGATGGCTGCTGTTACAATACACTTACACTTCCGGGTGTGTTGGATAACGTGTCCCCCCGCTGTGCATTGTGCTACCTCCAACTAGCTGCTACTTCATCATTCTCTGTGCTGTCTGACACAGGGGTCAATGGATGGAACCACAGCTCACAGCAAAGGAGTGTGGGGTGTGTGAACTAGCAGCAGTGGTTGTAGCTTTACAACAAAGCAAAGGATTAGAGTCGCTGCTAGAGCTGCAGCTAACGATTATTTTCAAAATCGATTAGTTAGCCGATTATTAAGTTCGATTAATCGGATAAATAATAAAATACATTTTTAAAAATGGTTCCAGTGATGGGACTACTAGTTTGTATTGAGATTGTAGTCCATCACAGGAGCAAGCTTGGAGCAGTGGAAGTAAAAAAGAAAAAGTGTGGTGTGCAATATAGTGAAATGAAAGTGTAAAATTATACAGCAATGAATGCAGAATGGCAGCAGCTATAGAGGACTACAAAACCCAGCAATTGTACATGATACAGCACAATGCAGAATACCACCAGCTATAGAGGAATACAACAAATCCCAGCAATAGTACATTATAGCTGGCGGTATTCTGCATTGTGCTGTATAATGTACTATTGCTGGGATTTGTTGTACTCCTCTATAGCTGGTGGTATTCCGCATTGCGTTGTATAATGTATTATTGCTGGGATTTGTAGTCCTCTATACAGCACAATGCAGAATACCACCAGCTATATAGGAATACAACAAATCCTAGCAATACATTATACATACAGTGTATATTCTATTCCTGGGATTTGTAGTCCTCTATAGCTGATGGTATAATATACAGCACAATGTACCATCAGCTATAGAGGAATACAAATCCCAGAAATACATTATAGAGCACCATATGTGGGAAAGTGCAGGCTTACCTGAGTAGTCTTACAGCAACTTGCTTCTGAGATCAGGCCTGTCTATCGGCGGCTGTCATCCCCCCACACCTGCTCCTCCTTACTTGTTCTCCCCGCGTCCCTGTGCCGATAGTGGATGTGGGCGGGCGGTGAGCATGAGGCGGGGAGGAGGTACTTTGCCCAGCTTGTGTGGAGCCGTGAACAGGGCCAACTAATCAGAGCCCGATTATTCGATGATTGAAGAAGTTGACAACTTTTTCAATAATCGATTATGTCGATTATGTCGATTAGTTGTTGCAGCCCTAGTCGCTGTCCACTTAACAGGTAAGCATTACTATTCTTCTTTTCCTGCGTGGCACCATTCCAGATGTTGAGTTTTCTGTGTAATATCATTTGCCTGTGTCTTTGGATCTATGTACGGTTTTATTACAAAGGACCTCAATATTTTTTTAAAATCATTTTCTAAGTTTGCCTGGATTTGCGACACGTTTACCGTCCTGTAGAATATAATCTAGGATGCAGTGTACATTTTTAAGGAACCACAGAACGTTTGTTTCTGTTAAAAAGGCCAAGAAAGAAAGAGAGGGCCAAGAAAGACGCTGGCTGTAATCTTTTAGGTGCGCTGCCTTCCTGGCACCCACAATTTAGCCAGTCAAGACTGTGGTGTAAGAGGTGATGATTAAGGTGGAGTTTCTTATTCTGTATGTTTGTCTTATTTTGTCGTTTAGGGACACACGGCTCCCTACAAGACGGTTTCAGCAAGAGCCGCCACAGCTTCCACAATCTTGAGGCTTCCAGCTAACGCATTTCAAGATGTGTTTGCCAAGTACCCTGAGACCCTTGTCAGGGTAGTACAGGTAACTGGGAGAAAATCTGGCTTAACTCTAGTGTGGATCTGAAATGCTGCAAATATTACAAACTCCCCATTTAATATTCTATTTATTGAAACAAATCATAACATTTATTTTTACACACAGCTTACATTTATGCCTTGCTTTGTCTTTATATTAGCTTCTTGTAATCCCCTTAACAGCACCACCAGACTGGGAGAGGGGGGCGGCCGCTCTATTAGCCAATCAAGGCTGTTTTTTTCTTTTGCATGGCGCTTGTCTGAACTGCTGCTCCTTTATTGTGCACTTATTGGCTGTCGATGGGGAACGATCCAGATCTTCAGCAGCCATTTTTTTCCTATAGTCACTTGTCAGACGGGTGTGCATCGTGACCATGCTTTAGGCACATAGCGTGGGGTTGAACAGTACAAGTTTAACTGTGTTTCTTTGCATTTGCATTTTGCATTTTGGTTTTTTTAAAATAAATATTTTGTACCTTTTTTATGTTGCTTTATTGTGCAGTCAAGTGACCGCACAGGTTTCCTTTTAGGTGTCGTTGCCACGTAGCAGGGTCCTTGTGTCACACACACTGTTTACAGTTTGACAGCGAGGCACATGCTGAGAAGAGCTGTGAATTAACAAGGCAGGGCTGGGCGGGGGACATGGCTGCTGAACAGACCATGGGAGATACTTGGTCTCCTTCAGATTAAGATTTTCACATTGAGTTGCATTTGTTTAGGTTGGTTGGTTGGTAAGTAGGAGAGTGGGTGTTTTTATAAGATTGTGGCGGATTTAAAAAAAAAAAAGTCAGCAACAGTTTATTACAGTGATCCAGTAAATCTCATGTCAATCTTACTAATGAACCAGTGACACAAAATTAGTAATGTCTCTTTCCTCATAGCTACCAATCAGATTACAACCTGCCTTGCAAACCACCAGAGTGTTTGATATGTTGGAATGAAAGGTGGAATCTCATTGAATGCTGTGCGGCAGTTTCTAATGAAATGGATTGGCTGCATTCTCAGTGATTGTCTCTAATCTCTAATGAATGGGTACAATGCACCCTCAGTGATGTCACCAGTCTCTAGTGAATTGATAGGCTGTATTCTCAGTGATGTCACCGGTATCTAGTGAATAAATAGTCTCCGTTTTCAGTGATGTCACCGGTCTCTAGTGAATGGATAGGCTGCATTCTCAGTGATGTCACCAGTCTCTAGTGAATGGATAGGCTGCATTCTCAGTAATGTCACCGGTCTCTAGTGAATGGATTGACTTCATTCACAGTGATGTCTCTGGTGAATTAATAGGCTGCATTTTCAGTAATGTCATCATTTTCTAGTTAATGAGGTTCCTAGTGAATGCTTTCTTGTGAACTAGTACCTATATTGTTTTGAAAAGATAAACTGATGGCTAATTATATGTATATTTTTTGTTCTACAGATTATAATGGTTAGGCTGCAGAGAGTGACATTCTTGGCACTGCACAACTACCTGGGTCTGACCACAGAACTGTTTAACTCCGTAAGTATGTTTTCACACATTTGGTATCAAGATAGTGCCAAACTGAGTTGTACGTTTTGGCTGGACTTACACTTTAAGTGTTAACATTGTGTTGTGAGAGAAATGTGGGAACTGCCAGTAGTGGCCTCCCTATGAAAATGTAAGTTACTTGGCTGTCATGCTGATCCACTCGCTTCAGCGGTTTTTCCCTAACCCAAGTATGCAGTGTGCAGATGGAAAAAGTCAGAGAAAAGTAAAAAGTTCTTATTGTCATATTTATTGTAGATCATTGGCACAAAGTAATTGAAGCCATACATTCAGCACGACAGTCATGCAAATATCAGTTTTAGAAGAATATTTCAGCAAAAACAGCTTCCATGTTTACCCAAAGTCTCCTATAAGATACATTTCTGTCCTGAAGTCAACCCACCATGTTGTCCCTGAATGATCCTACTTGTGACAAGAAGTGTGATTTACCACACATAGAAATAAATGTTGCAGAACAAGACAGTTTTTCTACTTTATGCGCGTGGCTTTTCTGGCATTCAGTCCCATGCTTGTTCTAAAAATGACATAGAAACCAATTATAGTTCCACAAATAGATGAGGCGCCTGGCCTCAGGTTGCTAAACAATTGATTGAAGGGATCTTATCATTTCAGCTTCTGCACAGCCTTTGTATCACAGTTAACAAACAAGTGAGGTCATTTTTTATACTTTTCACATCAAGCATGGTTCTTTGTACTTTCCACTCAAATTGAACCATTCCGTTGTTTTTTTACGTTTTGTACAACAGGTAATTGTTCCATAAACTGTGCTGGTTATAGACTTGACTTCAGGTCTCAGAGTCTTGGACTTTTAAAACACAAAGTTACATTTTATGAACCCCTTAGTGACCAAGGCCTTTTTTTTGTTTTTTGTACCCATAATATAATCTACATTTTAGGCCTGAAAATGACTTTAACCCCCCACACATTATATATTTTTTGAAAGCCAAGACCCTGTAGAATAAAATGTTGGCAGTTCAAAATGTGTATGTTGCACGATATTAGCGCAACATATTATCAAACCCCAAAATGTAGTGAAAAATGCTCTTAAGTGAAAAATACCAATTTTTTGGTATAAAATATAAAAAAGATGAGGTTACAACGAGTAAATAGATATCCAACATGCCCAGGTTACAAAATGTGTGCGTCTGTGAAACTGCAACAAAATTCAGTACCCAAAAAAGTCCATAGATGACGCTTTAAAAGCCCCCACAGGTCATCAGTTTACAGATTTGAATTATTGCTCTCACTCCGACGTGCGCGGCGATACCCAACATGTGTAGAGCCTTTGTCGTTTTAATACGTAGGCGCACCCGACACGTGTTTACCTGTAGACACGTGTGATCGCGGGAGACTTTAAAAAAAAATTTTTACATTATTTTTACATTTATTTCATTTAATATTAATTGAAAAAACTGTTTTTTTTAACTTTAATTGCTATCACATGGGGGGCTTACAAGCCCTCCATGTGATAGCAGATTGGCAGTGACAGGTACTCTTTTTAAGGTGATGCTGTGGGTTCAAAAGACCCCCAGTGTCACCTTAACACTAGAAATAAGCTATTGAAGAGCCCAGCACTGACAGCTATGGGACCGGAAGTGATGTAATCTGCATCACTCCCGGGCCCAGTGTACAGAGAGGTGATCGGCGAATGAAGGTTCGCCCATCTGCTCCCCACCTTCCCCCTGACTCCAGAGAAGCCGGTCCCGGGCCTGTAGGAGGCATTTTTAAGATGTAACTCCTGAGTTTATTGTTACTTTAAGCCTATATTGTTTGTGATCTTCAGGAAAGCCAGGCTATCCCGTTGTTGTCAGTAGCAAGTCTGACCTCTGGGACAGGGAGCAGCAAATCAGTTAGACGGCAGCAGTCTACTATGTCTATAGAAGAAGAACAAACTGATAAGGCGGAGAAACCTGCAGAATTGCAGCCAGATCAAGATTCAGGCATCCTGGGTAGGTGAATGCCTCTATCTTCTGAACGTTTGTCTGACTTGCTGGTAAACTGTGATTGCATGTAGCGATGTGGAAAAAGATCTATAATAAGGTTTTTTTATTCTTTTGCATTAAGGAAGATCTGATAAGAAGGAGCATTCATCATATTCATATAGAGCGCTGTGGGGGAATGTATCAAATGGTTTGCGACTGTTTTCTTGCAGTTGTATCTTTTTAAAATAATGCTAAAAGAGCGCAAGTGATCCGCATTTGTGCCCTTTTTCCACCACCGCTGCGACACATTCATATTTGCAACCAGATGGATCAAAATGGCGATAAGACGCATAATTCACACACATATGTCAGATCTGCGACAGTCCTCTGCGTCTGAAATTATACACAGAGCAGTCGCATGTTAAGTCATCAGGAGGACTTCTTAAAGTAGTGCCGGCTGTATTATGTCATAAAAGTCTTCTCACTCCTTCTTTAACCCCTTCATGTGGAAAACAGCTCTACATACCCTTCCCTGTCTAAACTATGACTTCCCATGTCAGTGACTGCTATGTGAAAGGTTTAAAGAGTCAGCGGTTATATTCTGGTAGATCGGGGAGCCCGTGAACTGTGCGCTGCTACACAGCAAGAGGAAATATTGCCAGCATTTGCTTTTTCCTGTTGTAACAGTTGCAGAGACTGGATTTACTACTCTCATGTAACCCCCATCTTCCAAATCTTCTCTCTTGTCTCTTCCATCCTCATTCATTTCTTTTTGTTGTCCCCCTCCATCTCCTCCCCAGTCTCAAAAATCATCTCTCATAAACAACTCTGCACTTCTAAAAGGTCTCTGCGCCCAAAAGAATAACCGTGCGACCTGCTGTTCTACTACACATTCATGAACCCATATAACACTAGATTATTATTTCAGTCACACATTTCGCCCGAATTCTGTGTTGCGACAGGTTTATTGTCGCAAAATATGTGACTACAATAATAAATTCCCGCCATCTTTTCTTTCTTTTACATTTTTAGTATGTTTGTAGGCACGCAGTTTGGAAATTCTGTCACAAGGTGGAGCTAAAGTTCTTACATCAGAGACAAATTGTATCTCACTGCATCATGAGTTATCATCATTATTATTATAATACAGGCTTTATATAGCACCAAAAGATTGCACAGCATTTTACAATATAAGGTAGACATTACAGTTACAATACATATCAAGATGGTAATAAGGGCCCTGATACAGGGGGTGGTAGCTGTGTGGGGATGAATTGTTTGAGAAAGTGATAGTTCAGCAGTTAGGTTGAGGCGGGATAGGCTTCCCTGAAGGGATGAGTCTTCTGGGATCACTGAAAGGCAGACAAAGTAGGAGACAGCTGGACAGGCTAGGGTAGGGAGTTCTAAAGGGAGAGGTGGACAAGAGGATAAAGGCATGTTAGAGGGGAATGTATAGTGTTTTATTTGATATGTGAATGTAAAAGTGAAGCATCATTTTCAAACAGTGAGAACCTTTTGCTTACAGCTCTTAAAGTGGACCTTTACCCCCTTTGACTAAAAATCACACCAGCATACAGCTCTGCATTCTGATATGAAATCAGCTTACATTAATTAGGTAAACAAACATATTTGTATTTTACTTACAATTTCTGTTACTCCACTCCCTGGTCCACTTTGGCTCAAATGATGTAATGTGCCCAAGTGTTGCATCCTGTGAAGGTAATATCAGCAGAGCATTGCTGGGAAATCTCATCTGTACTCTCATGAGATCTAAGGGAAAGGCATTTTCCTCCCCTGAGATGATGTGCATGGACGCATGTACTGGTCACTTGTGTCAGAGTTCCAGGAAGTAAATGGAGATCTAGTAATCTGCCCTTAGTTAAAATGACCATTGTCAGAAGACTGGGAAAGAAAAGAAAAATAAGGTATGTCAAATTTTTTAAAAACGGCGATTATCTAGATGTATGTGTTTTTAGATTATCATTAGTAAACATTTCTAAAGGTGCCTTTGTTGTTATTTTTAAGATATGTATTTATTACTGGTATTCATATAGTGCCGACAATGTATGCAGCGCTTTATGTGCACATTTACATCAGTCCCTACCCTCAAGGAGCTTAAAATCTAAGGTCCCTATCTCACATGCATACATAAGAGTCAATTTAGACAGAAGCCAATTAACCAGCATGTTTTTGGAGTGTTGGGAGGAAACCAGAGTACCCGGTGGAAACCCATGCAAGCACAGGGAGAACATGCAAACTCCTTGCAGATAGTGACCTGGCTGGGATAGGGGTAAAGTTCCTCTTTAATAAGTCATCACAACAGGGATTCTCTCATTAGACAGATTTAGTCCGAGGTCAGGGAGCCTCAAAGCAATCACACCTGCTGTGCTGTCTCTTTGGCTAACCCATAGTTCTCTAATAACACTTTATCATGCTTTATTTTTTATTTCTGTAATACAATCATTGCAGGTGAAAAACAGATGTAATAGTTTTTGTTTTTTTTTGTCAGGGACCAATGCAGGCCTTTCCACGGGATGTTGGTTAAATTAGGACAGCGGGCTAAGGGCGGTATATCATGGGGCTCGACAATTCTAACCCCGCTGAATTCACAAACAAGGGATGAAAAATGGGGAGGGGGGAGTGATGGCATCCATTCCTCGTTGCGGCGGCCGTTGTGATTGGCAGGCCTTAGCCGTGCTTCGAGCCCCAGCGGATCTTCGGGCAACACAAAATCTTCCCCCCGGGACAATCCAGGGGGTTAGTAAGAACCAAAGGGCCACTCGTGCCAAACTGTTATAACAGGCCAATAGGGCCAACGGAAAAATAGAACATAGTTTACCTAGGCAGACTTAGGGGCAGCCGGTCACAACACCCGGTAATCGGGGACTGCAAACCGACGGCAGGCCCAGGTATATTCCGGGGACAAACAGAGGGTGGGGGTGGGGGCCATTCTAGAGTCGGGCCACTCACCCTCAACGGTCCTCCAATCACCACGGGAACCAACGCTAGGTTGCATTGGAATCCGGTAGGCCCCAGCGCGTTGTCATCCGTGGGGTTCTTCCTGAGAACGTGGGGATCGTTGTCGGCTGTCAGCCTTTTTCCGGTTAGGTCGTGGGCCGCGTTCCCATAACGGTTGCAAGCGTCGTCTCGGTTGGGTCTGCTGAGCCAGCGGTGGGATGTTGAGCAAATCCGGTGTGGTCAAGCGTAGAGACTCCAGCAGCGCACCCGCTTCCTCCGGAGTGGCGAATGAGTACTGACGACCCTCGTAGGCAAAGTGGGCTTTGAGAGGGAAGCCCCACTTGTATTTGATGCGATGGTGCGCTAGGGAGGTCAGGTATGGTTTCAGGGCCTTCCTCTTCTGAAGGGTCTGTGGGGCTAGGTCAGAGTAGATTTGATACTTGAATCCCTGGAACGTGAGGTCACGGCGCTCCCAGGCTGCCTTCACGATTTCCTCTTTAGCCCTGTAAAAGGTCGGCTTAAGGATTACGTCTCGCGGTGGTCCCTCCGATCTTTTGGCGCCCAGGGCCCTGTGCACCCGATCCATCTCAAGTCTTTCGACCGGGTAGTGCGGGAGGAGTTCCTGGAACATGGCCGTGACCGTGGCATTCAGGTCCTCCACATGTTCAGGGATACCACGTAAGCGAATGTTCCCACGCCTGTTCCTGTTCTCCAGGTCTTCCAGCTTGAGGAGGGTAGCGGAAAGGTCAGTTTTAACGGAGTCTAGGTTCGTGAGCTTCCACAATGCTGACCACGTCGTCCATTTTGCATTCGATATCATTTATCCTGGAGCCCAGTTCTTTGATATCACGGGAGAGCTGTGCCGCCAGTTTGTCGGTGGCGGTTCTCAGCTCCTTCTGTAGCAGGATTTTGAATCGATCTAGTAGATCAGAATCCCTACAAGACGGCTCCGGTTGATGGCTCGGCACCGGGGAGGATGTACTCGCATTTGAAGCCCGGTCCGCATCCGCCGCCGACTGTTGTGAGGACGGCTGTGAATTTGGCCCTGAGGGAGACGACGCCATCTTGGCTGGAGAGCGCGTCAAGGCCGGAGTATTCGCTCTGCATGAACGGTTGCGGGTATTGTTGTAACTCCTTCTCATCTCTGATCTCCAACCGTTCATAGAGTTATGCCACTATTTAGGCAGGTAGTGGAGCACCGAATACGTATCTAGCTCTTGAGGTTCGTGTCCGGGTGTAGTGGAGCCAGGTTAGATTGCGGCCATCTTGGTTGGCTGCTCACTAGCGCCCCTAGATGTAATAGTTTTAAATCTGAACTCCAGTCACGCTTAAAATACACAAATAATGCTGCTCTGTGTTAATTAATACATCATTAAATGTATTTCTTGTACCTGAATTTGAACTGATACGAGTATCGGCTTCTTGTAGTCTATATATAGCAGAGCTCAGAGTAGTAACGGAAGAAGCCAAGGAGCCAATCAGTTCATGTGCTAACAAGAAGCATGCTGATAGGAATAGAAAGTAGAGTGACAGCGAGATGGACCTCTTCAGTTTGTTACTTCTCCTTTCTCTGTCCAGTCACAGGATTGGTGAGGGTAGGAGACCTGTGCATATAACTTAGCTTTAGTAGAGAAATATCAGGTCTCCTGCCCTGCCAGATAGGGCTTTGCAAACCATTGGCAGGTAAAACGGCTCCCATATATGTATTTCATCTGTGTATTTAGCTGTTTGCTTGAGCTACTGCTTTAAGAATGCAGGAAAAAAAATATTTGTAGCATTAGTGTTAAAGGGGGACTGTGAGGTGAGTGATTTTCACTCATCCTCATAGTTCTAGCCGACCTGTGACAATGAAACTCACAGGTCGGGTCAGTAGATCGGGAAGTGAGCGAACACATACCAGCGCTCGCTCACTTCTCGATCCTGTCACTGCAGAGAGCCGTGACATGGTATGGACTGGATTCCCCCCTCCCCTGTCCGATCCTCCAGCGCTGACTGGCGGAATGGACGGGGTAGGGGCGGGTACAGCTGGCTCTGCCTCTAGATAGGCAGAGCCAGCTGTCACTCACACAGCTGGGCGGATCCAGACATAATTGTCGGGATCCGTTTCAGCTGCGGCGTCTCAGTATACCACGAAAAGCCCTAACCCCATAGTTCCCCTTTAAAGGTCCAGAATACATCTCCAGTTTAGGAGGAAGGTAACAAGGGGGCAAGAAATATGGTTGTTCCAGAAAAGACAGGAAGTCCCTAAGGGCCCACCATTTTCGCTGAGAGATTTGGTCATCTGTGACGCCTATAAACTGACCTGGGTGCACATCTGTATCTGTCAGCTATATAAAGAAAGAATGAATGTTTGGTAGCTTTTTAGAGCATAGCGAGCACAGCTGTTGTAATGATGACAGAAGTGACATGTTGAGAGCTATTTATAGTGTTTCAGCAGTGAATGTGTAACACAACTGTATCAAACCTGATCACAGAACGTTCAGCAGGTTTGCAGGAGGTGATAATGTGTAAGTTGTGGTGTTACTGAATGGTACTGGGTCTGTGTTTATTATTATCACTGCATGTACTGTGTGTGTGCACACTTGTGAAAGAGTGTGTTTGCGTATATCCCCTTGTATACAAGTGTTACAAAATCTCCAAACGTGTATTGTAACTTTTACTCAATAAAATATTCTACTTCTTCTTTACAATCTCTGTACAGTGAAAGGGTAAATTACCTTGCTAAGAAAAGCCTGTTCTTTATCGAGCCTAATATATGTAGTTTAAATTAAAAGCACAGTTGAATGATTCGGAGGAGTGACTCCTTCTCCCTTTACCCTGTCCTGTACAGCTCCATAAAGAGTTTCTAAAGGTGAATAGAAAAAAATGTACCTTCGGGGGCACAGATTTTACTTGCTATTTTAATGCTTACCTCATATAAAATTTTGAGGTTGCTTCAAGATTTTTCACATTCTGTTCTATGCTGTAAGCATTGGGATACCTACGTGTTTGTTCTTTAGAAATGTCTCATGCAATAAGCACTTCAGACTAACCTGATAAATCTTGTGTTTTCCTACATTCAGACCCCAGTAAATTCTCAGCCACTGAGGGCTCTGGCACGGGTCATCGGAGAAGTCGCTCATCTTCCAGTCTAGTTGAAATCCCAGGTAAGCAAGGTGCCAAGATTTTAAAGAGGAGTTTGGACAGCGTATGTTGGCGTTGGTTGCTGTTGAAAATGTCGTTTTTATAATTAGACTCCTTGTCTAGAAAGGCTCCGACCTGAAATTTTCCAGCGAAATTAATCTTTTTGGCTTTCACTACGCTTCAGAATAGCACTTTACTTCCTAGAAAAGCAGCTTTGTCAGGAAAACAGGCATAGCTATAAAGAAATAAAATAACACCTCATGTAAATGTTTTACTGTACAGGATTATTTCCCTTTTAATATACCCTTTCTGCTTATGAGCAAATTAGGCAGTGATAATATAGGCTGACTGATGCTGATTAGATAGCATCCACATAGTAAGAAGCAATCGGAGCAATTCATCTTCAGAGTTTACAACAGCACCAAAGTTTTTATCTCAGCAGCTCAGCTCACCCTTTTCCCCCTCTCAAGCAGTGACTCAGCCGCCTTCTAATCTCTAATGTAAGCACAGAGCTCTAAGCGGATGTAGTAGGGTAAGCCAAGCCGCTAAAGGGAATCACTTCAGTGCTTCTGCTTTGAATTTTGATGATACATTGCCTCACAATGCCTGCAGCTAGAGAAGCTAGTGAGGAGTTTATAGTATAGCTCATTTTCTAATTGTTAAGAGTATATGAATACTTGAATGTGCATAGCCTGGCCACAGGTTCACTTTAAAGGAAAATGTGATTCCCTCTTAGCTAAGCATTCATTATTTTGTCTTGCAAGCATCACGCAATACAAAGCTGAGTAAAATATTACTGAGTGAAAAATGTTCATACATTTCTATCTGGACAAACTTGACTAGCATTCCTTCTGAGCTGATTGCAGAAGCTAAACTTTAGCCATTTTGTATCCAGGCCAGCAGAGATTTATTTGCATAAATAAGTTCTAAAAGTCAGCTAACCTACACTTTCTACCTTGCTCGTTTGATCTGTGCGGAGCCGCCTCCCCCCACCCACAGTGATTAATTAGAAAGCATCTGATTTTTCCATCTCCTACTGTTTCACCGCCCCAGAAAACCCTATTTATATCTCTTTGTGTTAGATTAATTAGCACTTCTCTGGCACGGTGCATGTGAGTGGAACGCTCTGTGGCGTTTAACGGCAGTGGCAAAGACATGAACGATATTTTCCTTAGTCAGAGAGCTGCTTTATTAGTGTAATAGACAGGTAGGCTAGGCTGTATGAAGCCTCCCCACGCTTATCACTATGGTGGAACTACAGGTGCCAACATGCATTTACTACTAAATACACAAACCAGCAAAGGAACAAATCCTTTATGGTAGGCAGGACATTCTACAAAATATCGCTAGAGAGTTAAGCAGTGTACTGTCTGGATGCAGCAATGGTCCTAAATTAAATATCCTTAATCGTGTATTGAGGGACCTAGGAAGTCTTAAACCTTTGGCTGTCTGCAGGGGGATTGGACACTGACAAACATAACAACTGTAGGCCAGCCCAGGATAAAACTTCCTACTGCCAGCATGCCTCATTTTTGCTAGTGCACTAGGAAGATGGACATATTTTCTTCAGTTCTGCTGGAAACAGTCTAACCTAATTTTGTTAGCATCATTTTTTTTCTTCAATGTTTTTTCTTTAATCAAGACTCTTCTCTACATCACTGCTGGAACTGGTCTCTTTCATTGCAGCTATCTGGTAAGGCTGTCCTCTGACTGGCTTTTGGAGTGCTGTGTCCATACCCCACTGAATTGGCCGCTGTGGGGCAGCCTGGAAGTGACCTTCGATCACTGTGTTCCAGACTTTGTTCTGATAACAAGTTAGCCGCAGAGCGCTTTCCAGGTCCATAGCCATTGGCATTACCTCAGCACTTGCCCTGTCTCTGAAGACTTACTTTGTAAGTAGGCCAATTGTAATGAGAGAGAGAGCTACCTCATTTCTCCACCAGTTCTCACAGTGGTATGTTACTGCCTACCTTCTGCCTTCCTATGGTGACTTGTCACCTTCGCCAATCTTACCCTCACCTGCAAACAGCTGTCACCGGCTTACGTACCCAAGGCCTTGCCTTGTATCCTGAGCCTTACATTGCTTAACTGCCTGGTGGTTGCTACATGCCTAATTCTAGACATGGGGAGAAATGGTCCTGCTGTTTTTAGGGCCTTCAGCATGCCCACTGATACCCTAGGTTCCTTTATGTTCTTCTGAGTCCTCCCTAGCTTTGATGGGTTTGGTTGGCTCTTCTGTCCTCTTGGCTGAAGTATTTACTACAGTCATACTTTACTTTATGGTTCAAATCACCCAGTTATTTGCTGTCCCTGACCAGAGGCCACAAGCATGCTCCTGTTCCTTCCCCTGCAGATTCTGTATCTGATCTGCCCATGGCCCCTGCGCCATCAGCCACTGAGACTAATTCTCAGTCACTCCAGTTCCTGGAGTCACTGAGACTAATTCTCAGTCACTCCAGTTCCTGGAGTCGCAGTCTTATGATATTACTCCCAAATTAATATAGACCGTTTCAGCTTTGATTGATGCAATGCAAACTAGAGGGTCAGCCTGTTGCTTTTACCAGTGTTCTTTCCAGGCAAAAAAAAAAGCAAATATTTTCCTGGTGCAGACACTGAATTCCTTCTTTAAATGGATTTGAAACAACTTGACAAGCATTTATTAGCCTTGTATCTGTTCAAGTAGGACTTTGTTAAAAGGTGGTTTGCCCCTACTGTAGATCTGGCAGTGTCCCATCTTAGCAAAGCAACCACCATTCCAGTGGAGGAGGCACCTGTCTTTAAAGTAGAACTAAAGCCCAACATTGTTTTCGTTTTGGATAGAGTGGAAAGGAACAGGTCAGTCTGTTATTGCTGTCTGTGTCCCCGTAAGGGAAATTCCTCCTCTCTATTTGTCCCAGTGATAGATATCACCGAGAGTGAAAGTAAAAGAAAATAGGACAGGAATAGTGGAGAAATCTTCAAATGGGGGCACCAGTTCTGGTGACTACCAGCAATATCCTCTTACTTTATGTTGTGGCTATCAGACAGGAAGTGAAGGGAAGTCTCCCCAATAGGACACAGATGGCAAAAAACAAAACCCCCCAAAAAACTGCATGTGGTTACAAACCTCCCTTGTTCTCTCCAAAATTAAAAAAAAAATGGTTTGGCTTTAGTTGCACTTTAATGACCTAAGTGATTGCAAGCCCTCTCTAGAGCTCTGTTCTCTCTGGCAGAACCTTTTCTTTATTCTGTCTTAACTGTGACTTTTCTTTACCAAAATGTGGATGATTGGTTAAAGTCCTTTTAGAAGGTCCTTTTAAATCTCATCACTTCTGCAGTTCTTAAAATGTTTTTGAACAAATGATTGTTGTTTTGAAATGTCCTGCCTCATCTCCTTCATGGGTCTCCTGTTAGTACACATACGTAGGACACTTTGGTTTAACTGTTGGGCATCTCTACTGATCTACTCTGGGTACCATTATCAAGGATGCTACTGGTGGCAAGAGCAACAATCTCTCTCAGCCACAAAAGCCTTAGACATAGACTGGAAAGGCCTCCGGTGAGGTTAGGAGAAGTCCTTTTTACTTACATGGCTCTCACAACCTCCAAGTCCAAAATCCCCATACTTGGTACCCAGGTTCCCCTGCAGTTTCAGGTCATGGCCCTGCCATTCAGGTGTTCTCAAAGTTGCTGGCCCCAGTATTGCTGCCTGCAGCAATCTCATGTCATCCCCATTGTAAAATACTTAGATGACCTACTATTGAGGAAACAGTTATTGCAGGCTCTGTTGGCCTTGACTGTCCGAGCATTAGAAATGGTTCAGATGGATCCTGAACCTTCACAAATCGGCACTCAAACTAATTCATGTTTTGGAGTATCTGGGTCCTAGTATCTAGTCCTAGACATAGTTCAGGCCAGAGCATTTCTTCTCTTCAATCCTGGACGTGTGCTCTGCTGTCCAGTAGTCCTGCGAGATGCTTTGTGAGTTTTTTAAGTAGCTGTTTGAGTTGCTGGCATTCCCTAGTTTTCTGTTGTTTTCATGGTTCTTTTAGTAGTTATTTGCTATATTGCCCAGCATTCAGCTGGACTGCTTTTGCTTCCTGTGTCCCCCAATGGATAAGAGAGAAAATTAGATTCTTCCTTTGAGTCCATTGAGGGACACAGGTGCCACCCCTCTGTGTTTACGATCATGCTTGCTGTTACTGCTTGCTACAAAACTGAGGCATGCTGATAGTAGGAGGGTTTATCATAAGCTGGCCTACAGTTTTTTGATTGCCAGCGTCCATTCCTCCTTTTAGGCTGCACTATAACTGAAAGGTTTAAGACTTCATGTGTTCCTCAAAGAAAATGATTTTTAGCAGTACTAAATGAATAAAGTGTAAGGGTTCACTCGGATGGGCGTACACGTGTAATTGCGCCCAGGAGTCTGTTCTTCCCTATGGGAAGATGCGGCTGCATGCAAGTGCACACAGTCACAGGCACACCTGAACCTGTCCGGGTGTCTGCACTTAGACGCACACTGTCTGTGTGCATAATTACACGCAGCACCTACCTCTTTCGGGATCAAGTCTTTTTACAGGCATGTACGCCTATCTGAATGAGCACTAAGTGTAACACTTAGAACTATATATGTTACACTGTTCTTTTCATCTGTATTTCTAAATTACCAGGGAGCCCCATAGCAGCTAAATCTGATTTGGACATGGCATACGAGAGAGCCAGAGTGAGCATTACCCCCGATGACTTTCCTCCAAGCCCAATAAATAAGGTATGTAAAAGTCCTGTTTTGACTTGTAAGGACACATGGTATGAGGAGCTGTGAGGCTGCTAGCAGTATGTATCTCTCTGACCTCACCCACACCCAATGCTTACCTGGCAGTGTATAGCTGAACACCTGCCGCAGTGTTGAGTTGCTCTCATTGTTTTGTAGGGTTTAGGTGGCGTGAGGTGCAGATCTTAATATCGGAGGCAAAAGTCAAAACCTCTGTACAACATTATGCTGGAGATTGAGGGGATCACAGGGGACACAAAGTCATGCAGAGATGACAGTTTTGTTTTAAATTAAAATCTTATATCTAATAGGCTAAATGCATTCCAATGCATCAAAACAAAAGGTATTCATGGTCTTTCAGTTTGTTTTCTTGAAAAATCAGGGACAGCGTCAGTAGAAAAGCTTGTTTCCTGCTCTCATGCTTCAGAGTATGACCCTTGCTCTCTTTTGCAGAGGTCCTCTCAGTAAAGCTCGTGGCCCCTGCTAATTGGAGATCTCTAACTCAGCATGGAGCATGAGTTTTGCTGATTGCGAGCTATGGGTCTGATTTAGTAGGGGGCAAGACGGACCTCTGTAGAGACACCACTGCTTCCCAGAGAGCAAGGGTCTCACTGTGCAGCTGCTGGCAGAGCACAGGCTTTTCTTATAAGGTGTTAACGGATTTAGAAATTAAAACTGTAAGACAATGGGGTCAATTCACAAAGCTTATTTTCTTCATTTCAGCCACTATTTCATTGATATGGCTTGTTATATAGTTGCTGTGTAATTCACAAAACTCAATAACGCTTCTTATTTTTAAGAAGTAGTAAATTAACTATTCAGACGTTATTTTAACAATTGGAGTGATAAAATATGCTTGAAATGCAATTCACAAAAGGAAAAGGTCCTTTTATCACTCGTTATTGAGACGTAGATTTATCACCTCCTTCAGGGTGGCGTTATGACAGATTTCATGCGTTATCTGATGCTTGCTGCACTGAGATGACATGAGGTAGATAGAAATGGAACCTTTTTTCTTCATTTACACATGGCTTAATGCTTTTGCGTACAGAAGAAGGGGGCATGCATTTTTCATGTCTACAGTTTTTATCCTTCTACAAATGTAAATTATTTTTTACAGTTAGAGGTTAGTGGCAAATCTCACATGACACGAAAAATCAAATGTCCCTGCACACCCTTCATTGGGGTTGTAGAGCAAGTGTATTGTTCCATGCAACATATTTAATATCAAGACAGGCTTTATAGGTGGTAATGAGAATTGCTTGCCCTCCCTCACTGCCTGATTTTCAACAGATGTAGATCTAAATAAATCTAATGTTTCATATATTCATTCCGTTCAGAAAAAAATGTTAGTTATTTCGATATGATTTCTTCTCTACTAAATTTAAAATTAATATGCATGTGGCGAATATGGAATGTATTCCTTCCTTACATGTGGAATCCTTTTGTGTGGTGAAAGTAAAAGTCATTTAGGCATCTGCTCCACCCCTTCTGGTACCAAAATGCACTGCAAAAGTGTTAAAATAACATCCAAAATGTTATTTTATCACAGTAATAGATAAAATAATGTCTGTGATGTTAAAATAACACTTGCTTAAGGAACGTTAAACTGCGTGTGCATTCGCGATTCCAGCTTTTGTGAATTGCATGTTTCAGCCTGTAAAGTAAAGAGTGGTAAAATAAGGATAGATAAATTAACTTCTACTCTCATAACGCTGAGCTTTGTGAATTGACCCCCTTGAACTCCTTTTTGTTTTGATGCACCTGGAATGTATTTTAGCGGATTTAAACGGAAGGTTCAATTGGAATTTCACTTTTTTGATAGCGATTAAAATATGATCACTTCAATGTAAACTTCAACATAAGCACTAAATATACATTCTGTAAATAATTCAAATTTGTATTCATATTTCATAACAAAACCTTCCATTTGTGCTTTTAGTTATGTGTCCAAGCACATGGGGGAAGCAGCCATATTTGATATAATACAGGCTATGTAGCCTCTGTTTAGTAGTGTTGTGCAGTGATAGAGTTTTACTGTTCTTCTGTACATATTGTTCAACTTACTCATGCGGACTGAAGACCGTATACTCTTATGCTTAGCCTTTTATCTTAGCAGAAGTTGTGGGTGAATACTGACTTCTGTTTGGCCACTAGAGGGAGAATCTACTAACTGGTAAAAGGAATGTCCTCATTAAAATATGGAAGATAGAAAAGTCAAATCAATAATTACTTTCATGAAATGATTAAATTAACCGTGCACTCACTAAAAGGCACTATTGTTTCCTTTTTTATAACGCTTATGTGCCCAAACCCTAAAGCACATATTTCATGAAATTTAAAGGAATTTGCTGAAAGCGTACTGATGTGAAAGAACTGATTTAATTGCATTAGTTCAGAAAAAAATGAATATATATTTCCAGCTGGCAACTTGTACAGGGGTCTTTGGGGAGGAATGATGACGTGCAATCGAATTCAAGCGTCACATTCGTAACATCTGCGCCTTTCCTTATTCACATGGTCTAAAATCTCTAGGGACAGCAAACTTTTTTCTTATCTGTAAAGATCAGACTGCTTGCTGGATCTGCAGTCTGCCTCTGTGTTTTCATAAAGAATAAATAATTTTTTGGTTCTGTATAAATCTGCATGCGATGCGGCATGCCACTTAGCAAGCCTATGCTGAACACAGAAAGGGCCAGATATGACATAATAGTATAGTGGTGAAGAGGACTGATTGGAGAGCTGGCTGAATACATCAAAGCTGAGCTCCAGCCAAACCATGTTTAGGTTATAATAGAGTGGGAAAGAGTTATTACCTGATTTGTATTGCTGCCTGTGGTCGAAATTTCACCGTCACTTCCTGAACAGATGACGTTCTGATACGGGGTGTCACCAGGACAGGGAATTTATGCAGTCAGGACACAGAAAGCAGTAAAAACCTGACAACGTAAGAGGCCTTTGCCGACAAGTACCCAGGAACAAAACCACCCTCTAAAAGTTATATTCAGAGTCTGGTTCAGAAATGGCGTCAAACCGACTCTGTCTCATACATGAAGAAATCGAGGCCTCCATCAGTCCGGACGCCCGAAGTCGTCCGTGACATTCAGCAGCTGATTGCAAGTAGCCCCCGAAAACCAACTCGGCAAGTTGGTTTATCACAAACGACGTCTTGGCGAGTGCTGAAATCTCTCGTACTCGCCCAAATGCTCCCGATGCCTATCCCGATACTGGAACTTCTGGCTTCCCAGCCAATCAGCATGCAGCCGTGCCGCGGGTAATGACCTGCCTCCCGGCTCTCTGATTGGCCAAGAAGACGGCTTCCCAGTGAATCGGCATGGAGCCGGCTTCCCGTGCTATCAAAAAGCCGGGCAGCGGGTAATGACACGCTGCCCCAGCTTCCTGATTGTCCGGGAAGCCGGCTCCATGATGCCGGAAGTATCGGTACTCGGTATTGGCGAGTATCGAAATATAAATAAAGGTACTGATACTCGATACCAAAAGAACGGTTTTGGTGCATCCCTAATTCTAACCACTGCTGACTCTATCCTAAACCAAAAAAAAAGGTTTTGCTGAAGAGCTTATTTAGCTGTGCGATTGTGAAATTAGATTCTGGGGGATCCCACAAAAGGAGAGAGGGAACTATTTTGGACTGAGATTTTTTGTAATAGCTGTGTCAACCTGAATCAACCAAACCTTATCCTTGTTTCAGATAGCATGGAAAGGTTTGAATGTTTGTCAGACTTTTAATGCTGCCTGTGTCCTTTGTAGCACAGATGCACCCTTGTGACCATTGTCACCGTGAAAAGAGAGAGAGGGGGTATCCAAAATGTCATGATTGTCACCAGAACAGAATTATCTTTAGAAGGCGACATCTGTTCTGATGACAAATGTTAAAGGTGGGAATTGTAATCACATTTGGGAATTTATCTTGTCTCTGGTACATGAAGTGAAGGAAGATCTCCCCGACAGGGACATAAGCACTCATAAGAGCCTTAGAAAAACACTGTCTAAAATTAACAGAAAATATTTTGCCTGAAGTACCATTTTAAGGTCCCCCTTAGTCCCCCCAGATGACTTGTTTTTTTTAAATGATTGTAATGAGAGCTGAACCTAAAATTTATAATGGCCTTTAACCCTTACAGCCTATCTTGAAGAAATCTGTGACCGTGACGGAGACCCCTTCTGCCGTTTATCATTACAAGGAGGAAGATCTAATGATCCCAGAGTTTAGTGTCAATAGACATCTGAATTCTGTATTTGAGGCTGCAAAAAAAGACCTGTCAACCCTGATGAAGCTTAAGGTAAGTTTTTTTTTTTTTCTGCAACCGAGAGTTGTTTTCTGAAATATGCAAGGCTGTGTTAAAGGCTATGTTTTGAGCTATGCAGAAAAGGGGTCCAAGTAGATTAAAATACACTGTGCAGTTTTGTTAAATGCTGCTTACCTGTGGACCAGGTAGGTCACCTTGAAGGCCTGGTTGAAAAACTCCCAAATTGTTTGCATCGTCCTGTCCAGGACACAAAATCCATTGGCCACTCACCCCCAGCAACACAAGATCGATCACACTCTCATGTTTGAATGCCACACATGTACAGCCACTGCATGTGCAGCATTTGAACACGGGAGCTGCTGCTGCTACAGGCAAAAGCTTGCGCGGCGTATGCGTGGCATTTGGATGCTTTAGCGTGATTGCTCCTGTCAATTATGCAGGATGGGACAATGCAAACAATGTGTGAGCTTTTCAACCAGGCTTCACGGGTGAACTTAATGGCACATAGGTATACCATATAGATTAAAGGAGAACTATGAGGTGAGTGACAATCACTCAGCCTCATAGTTCGAGCCGACGTGTGACAATGAGACTGTCACAGGTCGGCTGAGTAGATCGGGGTGTGAGCGAACACATACCGTCGTTCGCTCACTTCTCGATCATGTCCCTGCAGAGCCGTGACTGTCACTCACGGCACCCTGCAGGGATTCCCCCCTCCTCTGTCCGATCTTCCAGCGCTGACTGCCGGAAGAAACGGGGGAGGGGGCGGGTACAGCTTGCTCTGCCTCTAGATAGGCAGAGCCAGCTGTCAATCACGCAGCTGGGTGGATCTCTACAGTAATGTCGGGATCCATCCCGGCTGCGGCGTCTCAGTATACTGTGGCTCGCGGTATACAGAGCTTTGGGTCACGGGAGGACGCTAGTTTGTGTCCTCCCGTGACCCTGGGGAGAACTATGGGGAAAAGCACTGACCCCATAGTTCTCCTTTAAAGCAGCATTTTATAAAGGTGCACAGTGTTTTTTTTGTTTTTATTTAAATCTACTTTCTCCCTTTGTCTGCATAGCCTATTTTTTCACCAAAGGTCATCATGGCCTTTAAAGGAAGCCCAGTTGGTGGTGCTGCAGAGCTGCTCTAATATACAGAGCTTTATATGATGTTCGTGCCTTCAACTCCTAGAAAAATGTTCAGTAGACCATATTACGATTTCTATTGCTTAGGGAGCTAGATTTAGCACTCACACCAAGTCATGTGACTTGTGGACTGGCCTTTGATACAAGTGGTTTCGAAATGGCAACTCACTCTCCAGTCCTGAGAAGTTCACACAGTATAATTTGTTGCAGAGATTAGGTCAGAGAGGTGATGATTCAGATCTGGGGTAATTTCGCAGGCTGCACTTTGGTGGCATTTAGTAGTTATGGAATTAAGTACCTGTGTATTTCTGCCGGCGAGCTTAGATGTACAATTGATGTTTCCTAATGCAGTTTAGCTATGTGTGACCTTTGCTGACTAGTTTTGAGACTGTTCTCCTTGATGCATTAAAGGCAACTCTGTGTTCCTCTACTCCAGTGCTATCCATCTGTCAAGTCCACCTCAAGTCCAAAGCCAGTGAAGCTGGAACTCCTGACCTACTTACTTGTATCAGACCAATGACCTGGAAGTATCAAGACCAGATGCATAATAGCCAGACAAATAGCACTGGCAGCCTCTATACTGAGGGGTATATGGAGGCTGCCAATGCTGACATATCCTTCTGAAAATGTTAGTTGCCCGGCTGTCTTGCTGATGCCTTAACTTCACTGCTTTCTAAATCACTAAGCCGAAAATAACATGCAGATTAGGAGTTTTGACTTCACTTGCTGCATGATGTTGTGGGTGAGTGACTCAAAAAAAGTTTAGCCAAATAGAGCCAATCAGCCAGTATTTTCAGTAGGAGGCCAGCAACACCACCCTCTGTGAAGGTATTTCTAATTTGTATTTACTATGTTTTTGGACTGATGCTTCTGCATTTCATACAGGGTTACATGTCTAATACAGAGGTATGGCCATACCCGGGGGCATACCACTGCCTTAAAGCAACCTGCGCATTTATTAAGCACAGCAGTATGCTTTATAAACAAGCTTAGCGCTCTGAACTATTCTTGTGCTTAGAAGAGTAGGAAAAAAAAAGGTCAGTCTAGGCCACCTGTACAAGTCATGTGACCAGCTCTCCTCCAATCACAGGGTTCTCTCTGCTAAGTTAAGCAGAAGCATGAGTTACACAGTGCGGTACTGCAAGCTTTATGCCGTGGCCTACATTTTATGAATGAACTGCAAAATGTAGGCAGTGGTGTAGAGTGACCTAAAGGTTATAACAATGAACAATGAATGCATTATTTTGCTTTGAATACTACCATATAAAAGGGCTGATTGACAAGACTCTTTTGTAGTTAACACCTACTGCTTATCTGACAAGCCTCCTAATGTGACTTAATGTAACTTACCTTTGCAACTGCGTCAGCAATTGTGTTTGTGTAACTCTGATAAATTCACTCCATACTAATATTATTTTTCTGCTAGTTTGTCCACCCCTGCTTGTTTTATCTTATTATTCTTTCTAGGGAGCAGGGTCTGCCTGGCTGCATTCTTGTTCAATGTTGACATTTCTTAGGAATTTGAGATTCCTTTGTCATACGTTTATTGTGAACTGTGCAGGCATGTCATCTGACATCTGACTTAAAATCACCTTTAGCGGTTTTCAGTAATCAAACAGACTTGCTACTCTATAGAGCATGACGAAGGAAGAAGTCGCACTCTGAGCCTTGATTAATGGTATCCAAGCTACGTTTTCAGGATCTTGCACCAGACAGATCAATACCTATTGATTCAGACACACTGGAGGATAAACATTATAAGAGGAAACAAAGTTTTTTATTCTGTAATATTTGATGGAAAGGAAAACATTTGGTAATATCAGGCAGGTGCTTTGATGTCTACAGTAACGCTAGTACATGATTGGACTGATTGATAAGGAATTCTGGAGCCAGTTGGTCCTAGCATCCAGCCGGGAATGGAGTTTTCCCTCAGTCAGAAGGACAGGTCCTCTTGACTTGTATTTAGCTGTTACTGTGAAATCTGAGGCACAACTCCCCTTTCCCCTCACCTATCACTTTCTTAGTGCTGCTCAATAAATCTTACTTGCATGGCTTGCTGAGTTTGGATAGATCAGCAGAAAACAGCGTTCAGCTGAAAAGACGCACAAATACTACAAAGCACGAGTGTGTTTCAGCTCTTATTGTTCAAATTAATTTCCCATTTCTTGATGCTTTACATGGATTTAGCTGATTTCCCTTCACTGCATTTTTTCTTTTAAAGTGGAACACAGGGATTTTTTTTTTTCTTGGGTAAGATGCTTTGTAAAGTTTTAGTTTTTGTCCTACTGGAAAGTGAAATGAAAGCTCCTCACTGTAGATGGAAATCCCCATTTGCCAATGGAGAGGTGTTTGTAGTGGGAGGTTTCCTCCTGGGACAAATGATCGGGTTGCGAAAAAATCTCCTTGACTTGAATATCGAAAGTAGTTGTATTTATTTACCAAGCTATCCGTTCTATACAGCACCCTCAATGTCAGCTCAGAATTTGAACAAATCCACTTCCTGCGTTTGTACAATCCTACATCAGTCAGTCAAATCAGTCAAATGAGGAGGGTGGTGCGTTTCAATAGAAATTGCCTAAAAAATGTCTATAGTTTCGAATGTCAGAGGTGTTTGACTCCATATAAACAATTTTGTAACTGTTTCTGAAGTCTGCCATCCTTTGCTGCCTCGTTGTTACAGGCCAGTAAGGCCGTTCATCATAGTGATGGACCCATAAGAATATGGGAGGAGGGCACTTAGCAACAAGTTAAAACTCTACCTGAAGGTTTGGCCCCATCTGAAGGCTTTGTGGAGCTTCTGTGGGTATTTTCAAGGCTGGAATAATGGGCCAGGTGTGGAACCCCTTGGCAGGGACGAATAATGTCCAAAAAGCGCAGTACAAAAGTATAATCCAATCGGGTAGTCAGGTCCAGTTCCGTGTCGTGGCGGGCAGCAGGAATCGTAGTCGAAGGGTCAAGCAAAAGGGTCGGTACCCGGGAAGTCAGATCAAACAACAGGTTCAGGGGAGGGAGCTGGGTGTTCACCATGAGGTAGAATAACTCAGCAATGAGTCAAGGCTCGGACCAGCTTTAAATACACAGGGAACACAGGCCAGTCAGAGTCCAATCACAAGGCTGAGGGCAAGTGGTGAAGGCTGAAGTCCTCCCCCAGCCTGAGTAGCACCTGTGGCTTGGAATGGCGCACTACGCTCGCACGGCTTGCGTACCGCGCACGCGCTCCCGGCGCGCGACTTGCACACATGCACTGGCCACACCAGCGTCAGATGTCCTGCCAGGGGGAGGAGGAGGAGCTTCCTGTGCCCGATGCCCGCGCCTGCAAACCTGATGAGGAACGGTCCCCCTGGGTCCCTGACAGGTATCTGCAGACACCTCTGTGAGTCTGCACTTTCTACCTGCTGCAGTTTTCTTTTTTTTGGGGGGGGAGGGGTTCTCTTTAAGAAGAAGAATATTAATGGCTCTTTCAAGTAGACCTTTCAGTAATGTTATAAGTCTTCATAGTTTCATTCCTGACATGATACAATATACAGCAACAGTATCATATTTTAGAAGCTCTCCAAGTTTTATTAACAGCCCTTGTGCTCTAGGTAGGTTGCTTTGCCTACATTGAGATGATGTCATTAGTCTACTGCAGGAAGAAAGCAAGGATTGGCTCAGTCTTTTGTCACCTATTGTAGAAAGTCACAAGGTGAGAGAGGCTGCAGCAGGAGGTTGATCTATGTCCGACATTAGTGAACTTGGGCCTCATTCTCACATGGTATTAGTGCCAACTTGTGGCTACCATCATCAGTGGATTCCTGCGGTTGGGGTTAGAGATGATTCCAGACAGCTGTTGCTGCTTAGCCTGTTCAAAGCAGTGCCGATGTTTGCAACTAGGCGCACATCCAGAAGTTACCTGGAACTGT